AACAAAATGAGCCACATTACGTGCTGCTGCTGTTGCTGCTCCTGAGCATGATGATGATGATGGCGATGGTCATGGTGATGATGATGATGATGATGGATTATTATGGTGATGGTGATGATCATGGTGATGGTGATGATCAAGGTCAGGGTAATGGTGATTATTGTGATGATGGATGATCATGGTGATGGTGATAATCGTGGTGATTGTTATCATCATGGTGATGGTGATAATCATGGTGATGGTGATGATCATGGTGATGGTGATGATCATGGTGATGGTGATGATCATGGTGATGGTGATGACCATGGTGATGGTGATGACCATGGTGATGGTGATGGTGATCACGGTGATGGTGATGATCATGGTGATGGTGATCATTGTAATGATGGTGATGGTGATGATCAAGATCATGGTGATGGTGATAATCATGGAGATTGTTATCATCATGGTGATGGTGATGATCATGGTGATGGTGGTCAGATGATCAAGATCATGGTGATGGTGAGCATCGTGATGATGGTGATGATCATGGTGATGGTGATGACCATGGTGATGGTGATGGTGATCACGGTGATGGTGCTGATCATGGTGATGGTGATCATTGTAATGATGGTGATGGTGATGATCAAGATCATGGTGATGGTGATAGTGATGATCCTGATGATGGTGATGGTGATCACGGTGATCACGGTGATGGTGATGATCACGGTGATGGTGATCATTGTAATGATGGTGATGGTGATGATCAAGATCATGGGGTTGGTGATAGTGATGATCATGATGATGGTTATAGTGATGACCAAGATCATGGTGATGGTGATGATCATAGTGGTGGTGATGATCATGGTGGTGATGATCATGGTGATGGTGATGATAAGGTGATGGTGATGATCATAGTGGTGGTGATAATCATGGTGGTGATGATCATGGTGATGGTGATGATAAGATGATGGTGATGATCATGGTGATGGTGGTAATGGTGATGGTGATGATGGTGGTACTGACCTCATACAGCATATTAGATGTCATGCCTCTATAGTAGCCCCATGAGGTAGTATTCCACAGCATCCACATTTTACTAGTGGAAAATGAAAGTCCCAGGAGAGAAATCCTGGTACAGTTATGAGGTGGCTGCTGTGGGCTCCAATCCGGGTCCAAGTCTCCAGATCTCCTGAGTTAGATCACCTCTTCTTGGTCTAGGATCCCTGACCATTGTTGGCATTCTTGTCTGAATGTGCCACGGCTTGGACACATCTCACCAGATTCATTTGGAAACATGACCTTTGCTTTCTGCCTACAGGGTCCAGAACACCCGAATCCTGGAAAGAGCTTCAGTGCCCGCGGCTTCCCACGACACTGTTACCTTCCAGATAGTGAAAAAGGAAGAAAGGTAAGAGGACGCTTCAGGGTGGAGCCAGGGGATTTGTTTCTATATGAAGGCTGCATTTCTATAGTGCACCAGCCAGAGAGAACAGGGTCTCCTGTAAATCTGCAGACACATAGTAACAAGATCAGATGGAGTCAACTGTAGGGGAGGGCGGATATTATTTCAATTTTCTGGGAGGGGGCTTCTTTTTGTTATTATGATTGTGTATCCTTAAGTCAGTTGCAGCTCATAGCTGACCCTCCAACAGGTGTTCAGAGGCAGTAAGTTACATGGGGGAAGATGGCACATTTTTCTCCTGTGGAGCAGCTGGTGGATTCGAACCGTGTACCTTTGGGTTGGCAGTGCAATGCCTTACCACTAAGCCACCAGAGGTCCCAAGGAGGAGATTTAGGGGGTGTTTAAAGGAGTCTTGGTGGTGCAATTATTTAAGTGTTAATTTGCTAACCAAAAGATCAGAAGTGGGAACCCACCAGTAGCTCCCCTAAAGATGTCAGCCAGTTCTGCTCTGCTCTGTAGGGTCATTGAATCAGTGTGACTGCATGGAATCACTAAAATGAGGAATGTTGACTTTTCCCTCTCCCGGATTTTACAGGCAAAAATCGTTCCCTTTCGCGGTTCTGCTCTGACGTGAAGTCGTCATGGGTCAGAACCTGGTGTTTCTTAAGTAGCGTGTGCCAGGCTGTGCTTTCTAAGTGCATTGCCTGTGATGTCCCATAAAAATGCTCACAGCCTTTAGAGGCCAGTTGTACCACTGCCTTTTCTTAGAGAAGCAAATGAACACTCAGGGAGGTAGGATAACTCGTCCAGGGAGACAGTCAGTTGGTGACAGACCAAAAGCTCAACATGCAAGTCCCTGACTCCAAGTCCAGAGCTACTGCTAGTCCACTTGCAGCTCTGATGCCATGATAAGACGTTGTGCTGCCAATGAAAAGGTGCATGGTTCAAATCCACCAGCTGCTCCACGGAATAAAGATGGTCAGTCTCCTCCTGTGCCATTTACTTTCTCCAAAAGCCCGCTGGAGGGTCACTTATGGGTTGGTTACAACTCGATGGTATATAACAACAACAGGTGCTATGTCAGAATCATGATGTGGGAGAAGATGGGAGACTTGGGGAGACTGGCTTCTGGGGGGCAGTTTGGCTAGCACTACAGCCCACATTTGGTCTCCTGTCTTGGCCTTTCTAGGTCCTGAAGTTGCTGCTGGTGGCCTGGGACCGCCGTCTCATCTTTGCTATTGGTACCTCGAGCACCACGGGCGAGTCTGACACAGTCATCTGGAACGAGGTCCACCACAAGACAGAGTTTGGTTCTAATCTCACTGGCCATGGCTACCCAGATGCCAATTACCTGGATAATGTCTTGTCTGAACTGGCTGCCCAGGGCATCTCTGAAGACAGCGCTGCCCAGGAAAAGGACTGAGGCTGGAGGGCCTTGGAGGTGGGATGGACCAGTGTGGGAGGACCCCACAGGGCAGGTAGTAAGGAGACTCAAGGTAGAAGTTGGTGCCATGCCTCCCCGACTCCCTGGTCTCCCCTCCTGTCCTGTCACCATCCCTCCTGTCCTCCTAGCCATGGCAAGGAACCAGACTGAATAAAGCGACATCGTTCATAAACCTCATCCTAAACCACGGGGATCTGGGATGAGGGGCCATCCTTGATCACTTCCCATGGAGTTTTCGGTGCTGGGTAGGCAAGAACCCCCCTCACCCCCGAGCAGGGGGCTTGGTCAGCACATCTGGGGTCTGGTTGGTGCACGGACACTCTGCGCCCTGGCCTTGTGAAGCCTGAGGTTCACGGCCTCAGCTGGCTACTTGCTGCTTCCACTCCGCTCCAACAGCGGAGTTTCCGCTGTTCTCTCCTCCACTGGGGTCAGGGAGCTCTTACTGTGCAAGGCTGGGGGGCAAAGGGGTAAACCGCCAAACTGCTGTGACGTCAGAAATCAGATGCCTTTGGGTATGGCGAGGAAACAGTTCTTGCCACAAGCGTCTGGGAAGTCAGGGTCTTGGGGAGTGGGAATGCATTCTGCTCTCAGGAGACTGCCTGGCTTCTCTGAGCTCTCCCCTCCTCCTCCTCACAGCTCTGACCTGTCCAAAGAGGAGTCTGGTCCTGTGGTGTGGTTAGACGGACTCTGGGATTCCTCTTGGGGGTGGCATCCTACGATGCTGATTCCAGCCCCTCTCTGATCAGCCCAGAGCCTGCATCCCACTGAGCATGTGCACTGTCCTCAGGGCGAGGAGCCCAGAGCCGCCTTCCAAGTCATCCCAGACCAGCTCAAAGAGTCCATGAAGTTCATCAAGTCACTGTGAATAGAGCCAGCGCTCGGCTCTGTGCCAACCTGTGTATGTCCATATATATGTGTATGTGTGTGTGTGTGTGAGCGTGTGCGCACCGTAGGGCAAGGTTGGCGGGGGGGCCTCATGCTCCCACACTCTTGTGTTGCCAGATGTCAGAGATCCCAGTTCGAATGGAACTGGGCTGTGGCCCTTGACTTTCCTCATCCTTTGCAACCCATCCCAGAGTGAATTTGGATCCTGATGGAGACAGAACTGTGACGGAGGAGATGTGGCAAAGCGAGGGCTGAGCTAACCCCCTTCTCAAGACTGGGTGAGAGCTAATCTCCACCAGTCTGGTTTCTCTGAGGGCTCTAACCTGTCTCCCCAGAAACTGGTGAGTTAGAGCCCAGCGCTGGTTCCAGACCCTCCCCTTCGTCTAGTGCAGATTAACCTAGAACGTTGATTAAAGCCTCTTCTGGTTTCCTCTTAACGGGGTTGGGACCACGTTATGTAGGTCCAGCCTACATCTGGGTTGTATCCCAAGGTCATGTTAAACCTCTCCCAAATCTTCCTCTTGCCTTTGGCTCTCTGGGGGCATAATAAGGTTAAATGTTGGGCTGCTGGCTGAAAGGTTGGCAGTTTGAATCCACCAGCTGCTCTGAGAGAAAATAAAAGTGAGCCTCAGAAAAGCAATCAACGTTCACCAGGAGTCAGAACTGACTCGGCAGCAGTTCGTGGGCTGGTTCCCATTGAGGAATGCATTGGTTGTCAGGGGGGATCATGTAGGGAAACCCAGTTTCCCCTTTGAAAGTGAGTTCACGGAACTGTATGTTTGGGGGAAGTTCCTCTAGATACTAAGTTGAATTTATATACCTCATATTTTGGGGATTTGACATATATAAATATATATGCATATATTTCATACTCTTTGGAAGGCCTTTTGATGCTAGAAAAAAATGAAGAAATAAAAAAAAAGCTTCGAAAATGGTATTTAGAACTGGAAGGCCGAGCTTTTGTGAGAACCAGCCTGCAGTTGCTTGCTGGTAGACCTGTGGCCATTTGACATGGGTGTAGCCAGTGGATTCACCTGATGAGCGTCATCCAGGTCCTCTGGATAGTCCGGTGTTGAGCCTGCCTTCATTCCTCAAACGGCCATCAGGTGGGGAATCTGCCCCGCCAGAGGCAGCCCTGAGAGGAGGCATTGTTCCTGCGGTCTTACTCCAGTTCTCCTATCAGCCAGACACCATTTAACTCACCAGTGGCCCAGGAGATGGCTCCCTAGTTCCCGAGTTCCTTGTACCACAGGGCAGTTTCCTACTGTAGTTGGGAAGTAAGCATCCAAGAGAAGGAAAGGAGATCCCTACACTGGCGCTCCATGTACATGTACCGTGTACCATGTGTTGGAGTCCTTTACGTCTCATTGTAGGCCTAGGACCACTCTCTGCCTTTAGAACCCTTGTCGAGCCTCTGCTGGGCTTCTCAGCCATTGGGAACAAGGGTACAGGCTGTGATCAGCGGGTGGGGAAATGTAACGGAAGCAGTAGGCAGTGGAGAAGAAGAGAAGGCATACTTGACAACTGGAAGTGGGTGGTGAGGGGCACAGTGGCGTCCCTGCATCAGACAGGACGAGAGGGAAGGACATGGCTAAGAGCAGAGAAAGAAGACTCAGATAATGTCGCAGGGAGTCTGTGATCCCGCTTTGGAGAATGTGTCTTCATACTCTCAAGCCTTTGGCCCTCAGATTTCAATTGTGCCCACACCTTGTGTCTCCTCCACTCACAGGATGGTCAGTAGGGGCTACCTCATTCTCATGCCCCTCTCATGGGTCCTTCTGGCCAAAAGGGACGTCGAATTTCCCTTCTCACACTCTACCAGCCAACAGGAGGGGCATTTTTGCCCTTTCTCTTGTCCCAACCTGGAATGGTGTAGTCTCGGGTTCCATGAGGACCTGGCCGGCGGAGGCCCTGTGTGTCCACTGCTTTGACACCAGGGACGTTTTCCCCACCAGATCGATACCCTGATGTGTGCCCTGGCCTGGGCAGGGAAACCCATGCCTTTCTGTCCACCATCTTCACACCAGCAGCCCAAGTTCTCTCTTCCAGAGTGGCCAGGAAATGACAAACAGGGTTGGAGACAAACCTTGCCAGAAGCTCATCCCTGATGAGATGAAGTGTGTCGATGTGGTTGCGCGTGCCTTCGTGACTTCATTCTTCTTCCCATTTTGTAAACTTTGGACTTCTCTGTGGTTTTCTACTTGGTCAAGAGTACTCGTCCTGGTATTGCACTGACAGACGCATGAGTGGAATGGGGGGAGCAACCCTGTGCGGTACGAGATAGGACCCCCCCCTTCCTTGTCTGTGGGCACTGGCATTTGAGCGGGGTGGGATCGGGGAGAGGGCAGGTGAATGTCCCAATGTAAATCGTTCTGTTTGTAACTGGTGAGTTTTGAAGTCCTTGGTGTTGCTCTGTGAGAGGACATCGCCACCTGGTGCTCATGAGGTGTATGTGCAGAACAATAAATGGCAAATGAACCACCATGAGGGATGTGTGTGTGTCAGTGCTGTTGACCTGTTTTAAATAGATCTCTGGGGCAGTGATGTGTAAACCACCACAAACGCTTGCACTGATTGGGCGGGGGAAGTCCCTGCTCTTATTTTTCTCACATGTCTCTCCACACACTTGACCACGGCACCTGGTTTGACTCTGTTTCGTTAAAGAAACAAAACCACATGGAGGGCAGAGTGGGGTGTGGGTGTGTGTGTGAGGGAAACACTTGCAGGAACTGTGTGTGTGGAAGACTGTCATCTTTACAGTAGTGAATGCTGGCTTCTTTTTTTAAAAATTAATTTTAATGAAAGTTTACAGAGAGTTAGGGTTTCCAGTCATTCATTGTTGCACTTTTCTCCCTGTCCACCACCTCCCCCCAATTCACTCTTCTCCTTGAAAAGGAGAAGAAAAACTCTTTCATTGTTATGCAATCCCTCCCCCCAAGTCCACTCCACTGTGCAGCCTCCATTCTGGACTGCTGTCATGACAATAATAGCCAATCATATATCTCTTTAAACAGTTCTCTCCCTCACCTGTTTCAATGCAATATGCATCATTCCTCCCTCCCTTCACCTAACTACAACCATATAGGCTTTGCTAGCTCTTGGGCTGTTGCTCTGAGGTAATTGTTTTGCCTTTTCCATCTCACCATTAATGAAAAACCAAAACCAAATGTGTGGCCATCGAGTTGATTCTGACACACGGTGACTGCGTGTAAGTACAGAACTGGTGTTCACCGCTGTCATCCTTGTGGAAACGGATCAGCAGGACTTCCTTTTGTGCTGCTACTTGGTTGTTATGTGCCTTTGAGTCGGTATGAGATTCATAGCAACCCTCTGAGTGATGGCTCTGAACCTTGCCCTGTCCTGAGCCAACCTCACTGCCTCTGGGCACCTCTGACCCCACTGTGGACTCAAAGTGCTCACCTCTCAGTAAGGAAGCTCTGATGGCCTAGTGGTAAGAAGCTGCCCTGCAATCCTGAAAGCACACAGTTCAAATCCACCAGCTGCCCCACAGGAGAGAAGGATAGTCTCCTCTCCCCCCTTGGGATTAAGCGCCTCTGAAAACCAGATGGAATGTCAGCTAGGGGTCGGTTCCGACTTGACAGTCCCCAACAACAGGGTAGTTGGTAGGTGATGTGGGGTCAACTCCAACTTCTAACAACCACATGTACAGAAAACCTCTTTGATTGAAGCTCTGGTCAAGCCTATGCCAACCTCATAATGTCTGCTGAGTTTAAGCCATCACTGTAGCCTCTCTGACAGTCCGTCTCACTGAAGGTCTTCCTCTTCTCTGCTGACCCCTGCATGATGGACTCAAGCATGATGTCCTTACCAAAGACTAGCCCCACCTGACCACACGTTGAGCCCCACAGGCGTGAGAGGAAGCCTCACCATCCTTGCCTCTAACAAGGGCTCTGGCCCCGCTTCTTTTAAGACTAATTTATCTGCTCATTAGGCTCATGATCAAGGCCAAATCTTGTGTACCGCCAGGGTCTTCTGATGAGAACACACTCAAGAGAATGCAAATGCAGAGCTCTTCTTGTGACCCATGGCCTTCCCTCTTTCTGCCCACGGAGGGTGGTTTTCTCGAAAGCCAGAATTTGTCTGCGCCTGAGATCACATGATAGGAAGGCAGGGAGGAATCCTCAGTTTCCTGACTGGATGTAGAGCCTGGGAATTCCCCTGCTGGATTTCTGACTCTCTAAAATGGTTTGATTACAAAACAACTATGAGATATCATCTCACCCCCGTCAGAATAGCAAAATTTAACAGAACAGCAAGCAACAAATGCTGGCGAGGTTGTGGAGAAACTGGAACCCTTATTCACTGTTGGTGGGAGTTTCAAGTGGTGCAACCACTGTGGAAGGTGGTGTGGCGCTTTCTTAAAATAGTTCGATTAATGTAAACTGCAAATCCCCACTTTTGATTCCATATGCATGAGCAGTAGGACAGAGTGTTCCTTAAGTGCATCTTCCAATGCATATGTTGGAAATAAAAGTTCATGGGCAACTTTTCCTTTCAACAGGCAGCTGAGGCCTAGAGGGACTGGGGGCCTTTGGCTGTAATTTGTCTTTCTGACTCTGATCTTCAAAGAATTCCTGGGGAATGTGGAATTTGTGGAAAAATGGTTAGCTTGGCTGAAACATACCCACAAGACACTCAGAGGTTGAGGACAGTTATTTTAATGCCTTTCTTAAAAGCTCTACAAGGGCAGGGTTAAGTGAAGAGGTTTCAGAAATGACAGTGTTCCTGGGTGGGCAGCCAGAGAAGCAGGGCTCAGACTCACTTCGCTCTGGATACCAGCTGAAGATGAGGGAGCCTTCTGGAAACCATCTTCCCCAGGCCGGGGTCGCGCAAGCTTCTCAGAAGAAACTGTTGAAAACCCAAGCCTTTTGATTGTGGCCGTGAACAAGGAGCGGACAGATTATCTCGCATAAAAGATAATTCACTGATGACACGTGGTTTAGGGAGCAGAGTGTGTGTGTGTGTGTGTGTGTGTGTGTGTGTGTGTGTGTGTGTGTGTACCAAATGCATTGGCCATTGCAATTGGGTGAGATTACTATTAAAAATGAGGAAAGCCCTAAACTTTGCTGTCAGCCCCAGCCTGCAGTGGGAGCCAGGGTGGCACAGACGATGCTTGGAGACTTTTCTTGTGTCATTTACAAACACAGACATGATTGGGTACACTCCCTTTCTGCTGGAGAAAAAAGTAAGAGGCCTCAAGGGGGCTTTCTGTTCTGTTTGAGATTTAGGCAAGGACTAATGCTTAAGTGGGGGCTGACTTTGATTTTGTCTCTTTTTTTTCCTAGGAAATTCAGATGTAGGAGAATACAGTGGGTGCATGGGGTGTAGGTGCACGTATGGGTTGTTCGTGTGTGGTTTGTATGTGCATGTGTAGTGTATTTGTAAGCATGCATGACTGTGTATGTTAGCACAATGACTCATACATTGTGCGTATGGAGGGAGGGCGTCATGAGGTGGAAGGGCAGGCTGAATGAGGCTCAGTCATGGAAGAGAAATGGATTATACCTTGGTGTCAAGGAACATAAAACTGTAGTGTTCAATCTATCCAAACCTACAGCTCCTCTTAGGTGCCCTGCTTGTAATCATTTAAGAAGAGGAATCCAGCTAGTTGATTGGGAAACCAATCCACAAAACAGAATCCTTGCTCTTGCGTCAAAATAAACTCATAGCTGACCCTCTGGGTTTCTGGGGCAGTGACTAATTGGGATGGGAGTGTCAGAGACAGTGCGATTGGCACAGGACAGAGCGGAGTTTAGGGCTGTGGTACATAGGGTCGCTGTGAGTCGCAAGCGACTCGACGGCACATAACAACAACAACAAATCACATGGGTGGAGAATGCCCATTTCTTCCCTCTTATCTGCGGGAGGATTCAGACTCCGGCTAGTGACGCGAAGTGTGGCCACTGGTTAACAGGACAGCTCCCTGGGGACCTCAGATGAGTAAGAGTTTCCATGGCCCCTGAACATCAGATTTTTTTCTTTCCAATTCACCTTTTCTCCGCTTACTCTTGGTCTCAAACATCCCTCACCCCTTGATCTCCTAATACACTTTCATAAGTTATTTTCTGAAGCCTTTCTGACACTGGCCCGGAGTTTGAGAAGAATCAGATCTAAGTGACTGTAGTCTTTTTGTGAGGGAGTTACCGGCAGATGTAGGGCTGGGGCCGGGAATGCCTTTCTTGGCAAAGGGAAGACCTCAAGATGACCGAGGAGAACATCAGCGTGAAACCTTCAAAGCTAAAAATGTCATGGCCAGATAGGACTTGGCCTGTCTTTGGGAGCCTCTGTGAGCCCCAGGGGCATTCAAATCCAGAAGAGAAAACAATGGGAGGGGGAGGGAGGTAATTGTACCATAATGAATGAATATTAAAAAACCAAAAATAAGTGAACTGGGAGAGGGGGGAGGGAGAGAAAGAGAGGGGGTAATAATATGCAAAAATAAATGAATTATTTTTTTTAAAAGTGAACTGGGGAAGGAGGCAAAAATGTGCAACAATGAATGAATGAAAACCTAACTTTTCTGCAAACTTTCATTAAAATCATACCAAAAACATTATGACAACAAAACGATGGAGGGTAATCTTAAAGGTAGAACTTGTAGCTCATAAATCAACAGTCACTGCAGAAGACCACAGTCTGAATGAATAGCCCCCAAATCACCAGGTCAGTGTTCTCCCTCCTCCCTTTTTATACATACGTGATCAAATGAAGACGAGTCACAATGCACTCGGGGAAAGGTGTCACCTATGTGTTATAGCACACGGGATGTCTCAGCTCACCTGCCCTCCCCACAACACTGGCCATGTCGCTCTATTTCCCTTCTGGCCCAGGCATTTGTAACTAAGTCACCAGGTTATACTTGCTTTTCGTGGCCCCTGCCGCTTTGATGAGCTGGAAAGCAGAAGTGGACGGGGGGTAAAGGGTGGGGAGAAGGGTAAGAGGCATGTTGGCAGCCCTGGAGGCAGAGGAGAGGGACTTAGACCGGGTTCTGTTCCTGTTCTTCATGCGTGGCATCTCCAGGAGCTTCAGTGCTCTGGGCCAAGCTCTGCCTTTCAGACTCAATTTCCTGGTAATCCCTCTTCTTATACTTCCTGGTGCCATAGATGGCCAAGGCTATGGCAGCTGCCAGGACAGTGGTGACACCCAAGGTGACCCCAGCCGCAGCTCCTCCTGACAGGCCACTCCCATCCCCGTGGACATCCTTCAGGGCCCTGCGCAGTTCCAGGGGCTCGCCCAGCTTCCACTGGTGCGTCTCTGAGTCTTTAATCCAGGAGCTTGCTGTCTCTGTGTTGGTCACCATGACAGTATTGGTGGCAGCCTGACTCATGATGGGGGGCCGGGTGTACGGCGGGAGCCTGGCAGGGGGCAGGGACCCTCCTGTGAAGAGCCCAGACTTGACACAGTAGGACACTTGGCATCCATCACTGATGAGCGCCAGGTGCTGGCTGAAGCCCCCAGGACACTTGTGCAGAGAGGGCGCCCCTAAGTCTTTGGACGTCAAATCCGCCAGGGGGTTCCCAACTGCACAGCTAAAAAAGCCACCAAAGGGGACCGAAAACTTGTATCCCAGTTCAAAGTCTTGAGAGGCACATACCTTGAGGTTTTCAAAGAGTCTCAGTGGGAAGTAGCCGGCTGGGCAGGCCTGTGCGTTTGTCAAAGGGTTTATGCTCTTACCACTGAAGAGGCCTCCAAACAGCAGTCCTGAGTATTTGGGGACTTGGCCCTGGGCCACACACCAAAAAGCTCTGAACTCAGCCTTTGCCACCCGGAAGACGTCTTCACAGACTCTCTTGCAGAAGACAAGCAAAGTGCACTTCCGCTGACATTCCAAGTTGTTGTAACCCTCCTCGTGCACCTGGGATAGGAGGTGGATGGCTGAGTAGCCAGAGGGGCAGGAAAAGTCTCCGGTCAGGGGATTCTTCTGCTCCAAGTTGGGACAGAGGCGGACCGACTCGTGCCCTGAGAACTGGGTGCACTCCTGATACACCCCTCCAAAGGTGAAGTTGGTCATCTTCCCCTCACAGGAGCCATCGTCTGTGTTGGCCTGAAAATTGAAGTTGGGCGAATTGAAATCCGTGCATCCAGGGTAGGTGTTGAAAGTATAATAGCGCCTCACAGCCATCTCCACCGTCTTAGACAACTTCCTCACCAACGGGCCTGGCAAATGAGGCAGCATGTTGGGATTGATGAAGAAATGCAGAGGCAGACCGGCGCGGTCGAGGGCCACCAGGTGGTTGGGAATGCCCTGCTGCCAGGTCTCGAGGGTGATGCCAGGGTAAAAAGGAAGACCTCCCACGCCCTGCACCCTGGAGTTGGTTCGATTTGAGAGGTAGTTCTTGGTGAGGGCGTTCTGTGAGCTGTAGTTCTCCTGGAACTTGAAGTTGATGATGTTTTGGAAGGCAATACCAGCAGCTGTTGTCAGAGCGCTGTGGCTACTCTGACTGTCCTGTAGGAATGAGGACCTGATGTGGTCCTCCTGGATGAGAGTGGCCCCGGCGTCCACGCTGGTGACGACGTGAGTGCCGTAATTGAGGACTAAGAGTTCTGCCAGGTAGGTGGCCATTCGCGTCTGGTTGTTCTCCAGCCGCTCAGAGATATCCAGGAGGTCCTTGTGGAACCCCGAGCTCAGTTCCAAAGTTGGGTTGATTTTGACCGTGTAGACCAGGTTTCGTACCTGAACTCGGGTAGTAATAGCTTGGTCCCTCACCTGCAGGGTCTTCATTCTCTGGAACTCGAAGGAGAACTTGCCATTGACTTTGGAGAAGAGGCCAAGTTCTGTGTTGATGGAGAAGGAGGTGCTGCTCTGATAATTGGTCCAGGATTCTAGGATTTCTGAGTTCATTTCGAGGTGGCTCTGTTTCTGGGGAATGGTGAGGATTTCATCAGGAATGATGTACTGCCCGTCCTCTGTGGTCCTGCAGTTGGTGTAAGTCAAGTCCATCACCCGTCCCATGTCCACATTCCGCAGATTGTCCCAACCCCCTCCAGGTAAGACTTCCAGAACAGGGAGCTTCAAGCCTTCCTTGCATTTTTTAAATCCAACCGTATCGCTTTCTCCCAGAGGCTTGTCCCCTTTTGTCCATGCTGCCGCCACCCAGATGAAGAGGGCGAGCTTGAAGCTGTTCATGGCTCAGCTGGCATGAACCACACAGGCAGCCCGCAGCAGTCAGAGGCTTGGTGGAAACTGATCAGGGGGAAAGACAGAAACTGCTGAAACAGAATTCACAAGTTCTCCCAAAGCCACCAGTTCCTCTTCGTAGTTTAGGCTTATTACCAAATGAGGAAATGAGAGTCAGTTGGAATATTAAGATCCATCAAGACTCCAAAGAAATCGTGTTATACTCTATACCAAACGCAGCCGAGACCCTGACTGCTCTCACTGCCCTTGCTGTAGCCCGCACCTCAATTCTCTGAAGCAGGAAATGCTCCCACACCTCTGACCACTTCCTCCATGAAGGTTTTGGCCTGCCTTCAGCTAAATTGACCTTTTCTTTGATCCTGTCCCATTGCATTCCGAGTTTGTTTTTGTTGACTTTGTTGGACTTGGTGTTTAGATGTTTCCTGCTCTCCTGAAACTAGATTCTTTGTTGTGGAGTTGTAGAGCTAAAGAGCAACATCACTCTTGGAGAGTTCCATACTCACACAGCTGAAGGTCAAGGCCAAAGCCTTGGATTTCTCACTAATCCAAGGGTGAAAGTTGTTCACATATAAGATGTGAACATCTCACACAGATGGCCATTATTATATCCTCTAGGTGGGATATACTAATGTTGTTATGTGCCATCGAGTCGCTTGTGACTCATAGTGACCCTGTGTACAACAGCCCCGAACCCTGATCTACCCTGTGCCAACCTTATCCTGACACACCCACCATCATGACCCCAGTCACTGAATCAACCCATCTCATCAAGGGTCTTCCTCTCCTGTACTGTCCACCCACCCTCCCAAGTATGATAGCCCTCTCCAAGAACTTGTCTCTCCTTGCAACATGCCCAAAGTATGCCAGACAAAGCTTCAGACTCCTTGCCTCCAAGGAGCAGCCTGGTTTCAGCCTCTGTAGGATAAATCTGTTTGTTTTCCTGGCAGTCCATGGTATATTCAAGACTCTTCTCCAGAATATAGTAGTGAGTATTAATTATTATAAACCCTAACAGTTGTAACTTTCCAGACTGTGATATCTAGGGCAGAGCTGAAGGGTCCTGAAGGGGCCTTATTTGTTATACTGCAGAAATATTTCAGCCAGCCTGTCCTAACACTAAAAATGAGAGCAAGGATAGAGATGGAGTGGAGGGTGAGGAAGGGACCCACACTGCGTCATTGTCTTCTTTTGAAAAATGCTCAAAGAGAAAACCCATGCTATAGCCTTGATTTTTGATTAATCAAAAGCAGGACAGTAGACAAGAACCAATGGTATTGGGTGTATGGAATAGAGGATGTCATTGTTGAAATCAGATGGATCTTGGCTGAAAGTAAAGAATACCTGAAAGATGTTTGTTTTCTGGTATTATGTGGTTTATTGACTATATATTTGATTGTGTGACTCATCAAGATTACAGATAAAGTTGTAAAGAATGGGAATTCCAGAACACTTAATTAGAAATTTTTGTTAAGGTGCCATCAATTTGACTCAAGGTGGCCCTGGGAGCTCTGGTGGCCTAATGGTAAGAAACTGTGCTGCAGTCCCAAAAGTGTGCAGTTCAAATCCACCAGCTGCTCTTCAGGCGAAGGATGGACAATTCCTCCCATGAGATTTACTGTCCCTAAAAATCTGCTGGAGGGTCAGCTGTGGGTCGGTTCCAGCTCAACTATATGCAACAACAACATAGAGACTCTTTGAACAACAGATTGGAACCTTGCCCTATCCTGAGCTATCCTCACAGTCTTCAAGCTCAAGCTCATTGCTGTAGTAATTGTGTCAGGTTGAGGGGCTTCCTCTTTTATCACTAACCCTTTCTTTGCCGGAATGATGCCTTTTTCTAAGTACCAGCCCCTTCTGGTAACATGTTCAAAGCATGTGTGGTGAAGTTTCAACAGCCCCGTCTCTAAGGAGTACTCTGGTCCTTTAGATTTATTTCTCTCTTGGGGTTGTCTGTAGAGAAAGGATGTCCGTTTAAAGGCTAAAGTGTGCTTGACCCAAGCTATGACGTTATCAATTGTTTCCTTCATGTAATTATGAAAGCTGAACAATGAGTAAGAAGCCTCAAGAAGAACTGAAGCTTTGTATTGTGATGTTGACAGAGAATATTGGATATACCATGGACTGCCAAACAGATAAGCAGACCCATCTAGAACGTCCCAAGCCAATCCACCTAAACTTCCAGATGCCTAATATGCCAATATTTATGTGTTCTGCTTCTTCCTTAACAATGTCCAACTTTTCCTACATTTTTACTTCTCACATTTCACGTTCTACTCACTAGTGTCTGTTTGTAACTGTTCCTTCTCCTGTGTTTCCCAGCACTAGGGCTCAGCCTCTGATGTCATCTCTGCTGATCGAATCTGAGTATGTGCTGTTGTTCATAGGATCTTTGAAGGCCTGTGATTTCGGAAATGTATGGCCAATCCTTCTTCCTAGTCCATCTCACTTTGGATACATGGAGTTAGAGCAGGATCTGACAGACAAGTATTTAGCTCAAAAGAGCGGGGGTGGGGGTGGGGTGGGAATCCCTCCCTGGTTATCCAGCTAACAAATTCAGTGTTGTTCTCTCTGAACATGAACATGACCCACCCCCCACACACTGCTGGCACCCCCTCAGAGCCCTCATCTTGCCACTCCCCCAATCCCTTCCTCCTCCCTCCCCACAACTAACTCAATAAGATATCTCAGACCTTTGGCCACTTCTGCTCTTTATTCGCCCAGCTCCTTGGTGATGTTGACATTCTGCACAAGGGATTAGGGTGAGGCAAGGGCAGCATAGGTGCAGATCTGGGGCGGGGGGGGGGGGGGCAGGTGCTGCCCTGAGGCAGCAGGTCCAGGAATTGATGGAATAATAATGGACATATTTCAACAAATGGTGCTAAGGGCATGCTCAGCAGGCTGCGCCGTGAAATCTGGAGGACAGCTCCCTAGCCAACTAATTACGTTCCATTGCAATATTCTGCTTTGTCTTCTCAAGCTGCCCTTTAAACTGAGTTTCGAAGAGGCTGTGGCACCAGGGATGTCATTGCAGATGTCAGATGGAGTCTGCCTGAAAGCAGAGAATACCACAAGAATGTCTATATGGGATTGGTTGTTGGTTTTTTTGTTTTTGTTTTTGGTTTTTTGTCTATGCAAAGGCATTTGTGTAGACCACAGCAAATTATGGCTAACAATGAGAAGAATGAGAATCTCAGAACACTTAATGATGCTCATATGAAATCTATACCTAGACCAAGAAGCTGTTGTTCAAACAGAGCAAGGAAACACTACATGGTTTAAATTCAGAAAGAGTGTGCATCAAGGTTGTATTTGTTCTCCATACCTAGTCAACCTGTACATTGAGAAAATCTTTCAAGAAGCTGGACTCTATGAAGAATGTGGCGTCAGGATTGGAGGAAGACTCATCAAGCAGATGGCAGATGGTACAGCCTTACTTGCTGAACGTGAGGGAGACTTGAAATGCTTGCCAAAGAAGATGAAAAGCTACAGCCTCCAGTATAGCTTGTGTTTTAACATTCAGAAGATAAAAGTCTTAACCACTGGACTGATAAACGACATCATGATAGATGAAGAAAAGATTGACATTGTCAATGATTGAATCTTTCTTGGATCTACAATCAGCAACCTTGATTCCAGCAGTTTGGAGATCAGGAAACGTATTGCATTGGGTAAGTCTGTGATCAAGGACCTCTAAATTACTGAGGAGCAATGATATCCGTTTTGGGACTAAGATGTGCTTAATTCATGCTATAGTCTTATCAACCATTTGCTATGTATGTAAGATCTAGGCAGTGAATAAGGATAGCAAAAAAAGGGATTGATGCCTTTAAACAGCAGTGTTGAGGAAGAGTACTAAATGTCCTGTAGACAGCCAGAAAACAAATATGTCTTGGAGATGGTACAGCCAGAGCCCCCCTTGGCTCCAAAGATGACATACTCTCACATACTTGGCGCGTGCTGCTAGGAGAGGCTATTCCATGGAGAAGGACATCAGGTTAGGAAATGTGGAGGCTCCGCAAGAGAGAGGCAGACCCTCGACGAGACGGATAGACACAGTGATGACAGAAATGAGCTTAAGTGTGTCAGAGATGAAGAGGAAGTCAAAGGATCGGACAGGGGTCTGATCTGTTGTTATTCATAGGGTCACTATGAATGGTATTTGGTGTAACTGCATCCAACAACAACCACAACAACCACAACAACAACGTGACTTAACACATTCTTACTAAAGGCCTGTTATCATTGTTGCTGTTTAGTCCATTTCAATGTATGAAGCTTTCTTTTGTACAGCGTTGAACTATCCCATAGGCTCTTGAAGGCAGTGTCAGACAGCTCTGGGGGAATAGTTGTCCATAGTGACTTACACTGCTAGCTCTGAAGCTTCACATCTCCTATGGGTTGAAGCCACCAAACACTCCAGGAGAGGAAGATGTGCACTCTTCACCCACTGTGACTTAGAGAGGCTCAGAAACCCACTGGGGGGTCACTATGAATTGAAATCAATTGGATCATAGATAGGTTTCATTGAAACATCATACTAAATGGCATGAATGGATGGATCTGGGTAAGGATGA